GATTATTGATTCCATCAGAGCGTTATACATTAAAATAAATTGGATTACGTTGATTGATTCAAATACAAACTAAGGATTGGACTTAAATTTCTTTAATGTTCATGCTATTGTTCATTGTACCCCAGTGTATAAATCCTTCAGATTTTGCTGATACTGAGCTGAGAAGCATTTCTTACATTATGTTAAGTTATCAGGATTTAGACTGCGTCGTAGACCTGCATTGACATGATTGCCAGTTGAAGTGCTTGATGAATTCGAGTAGTTCACTTCATGAACATTTTGTTTTAATGATTTTTCAGGATTTCACCCGGCATAAAGTTGGTGTTTAATCTATTTGAAGTGAAATGAATCCCATTAGAGTCTGCGCTGTCACTATTTTTTCATCTATCATCATGATGCATATGATTTGGAACACTTCAGCAGTGCCACTATCCAATGGAAGGTATATGCAAAAAATTTGAAACGTTTACTTTTCAAAATTTTTTAATTCATCCTTTTCATTCATTATTGGATCAGCTGTTCTTAAAAAGAAAGAATTTGCTTATGCTAGAGAGAAATTAATTTTGAGGAAATTGGCGAAATAATTTCGATTAATTTTTATCATCTGCTTACTTCCATAAATGTTCACGGATGTTTTCGAAATGTATGTTTGATGACAGCGAAATGATTCCTCTGTTACCACAGACGATCCTTTCTTGACGGCAAGCTTCATGGTCGTTGAATCAATTTTTTGATCTCGTTTGGATGTGTCACTCAAAAGGGACTGATTTGTGAAGGAGGAACTGAACGGCTATCTGTCTTTCTAAAGAAAACTGGCATTGTGTGCCAGTATCTGAGCACCACTGGTTTCGATTGAGACTTAGCGTATTCTCAAGAGAAAAGTTACATGAAGCTTTTTGGACTTTCAGGAAATTTCATCTCACTGTTGATTATTCCCATCATCGATCTCTGTCAATGAATCGTTTCGAAGTTCACACTCTTCTCTTTTTAGCATCATCCTTCCCTAATCTTAGTGCAAATGTCATATCGATGCATATAAAATGAAAATTTCGACAAAAGTATATTGGAAGTATCACTTGGGTTTTAAGATCTTGTAAAGTTTCCGAGCATTCCAATAAGCAGCGCAATGATTGTTTTGAATCCGTTTGCAGGTTACTTGCAAAACGAACTGAGCACATCAATACAGCAATCCGAAATGCGCACTTATCCACCGGTGGATTGTCCTCAGAGCAGACGAACGAAAGCAAATATTTCATCCGGAACGGCCTTCCTTCTGAAAGGCGCAAAAGTGCTTATTTAAGGTTTCTGCATCCCGCACGACACGGACTTATTCGACGACTCAGACGGCTCAGATACTTGCACACCCATCGTCCTTGAACAAAAAAATTTTTGCATTTTTATTTGACAGGTGATCAGCTACATCATAGAGTCGTGTATTTACTGTATAAAACTCAGACAATACACCCGAATAAAAACTAGTTTATTATCAGGCGCCGTTTCAAGTTGGTATAAAACTTGATTTATGCATTGAATTGATAACCAGTGACACATGAAGACTGATAATCACATATTGATATTGACGATCAGTGAAGCAGCTGAATTGCATGTCGAATCTAAAATGAGTGTAACCTTGAATGTCTTTGGAAGGATCTGTCTTCCGCGCATTCATTGTAACAAAGAAGCAATGAAAACGCTGAGATGATAACAGATTGGTAAATAAAAATCATGGAAGGGATATATATCATTTTCATCATTCGAGTGATTTTTTGACTTCAGTCAACAGTGTCATCGCACATTTATCCATTCACGTGAGACATATTTTATCGATGTTACTTCCATAACAGTGAAGAATATCAGTTTCACTGCAAGGGACACTGTAAATTGTTGTATACATAACTGAACATCGGTATATTCAATACACAATGTTTGGAATGTCGCAGCACAAAACGTGAGCCACTGTATCTGCCGATCAGGCTATATGTAACGTGGCACTTCCAACAGCTGTTTCAAAGGATTCTTGATATATGACTGTGAAGAACGAAGTCTTTTCGCGAATGCTGGTGCCACAAAGCCACGAGCGTACGAGGCTCTACCATCTGATGTATCATCACTCTCGTAATCTCCAC